TGATCGTAGAATTTAAAAACTATAAATAAAGTTGATGGATTACCATTTATTGAAGGAAAAAAAGGGACTATGATCTTTATCTTTATATTCCTTTTTCTTTTTTTATACTTACTCCGTCTGTCTTTATTAACTATTGTGTGATCATAGAATTCAAAAGACTATAAATGAATCATCACTTATTTATGTTTCTTTAGGTTTGTGTCAAATCAAACAATCGACAAATAAAATAGATGGAAAAGGAAATTTTCAATGTCCTTAATTACGTTATTGATTCACGTACGTGTTTTTGGTTGTATTCAATATTTTAATTTCCATCCGTATTTGAAAAACACTATTAGACTGCCTTAAATCATGGATTTCTTAATTAAATTGTTGCTTGAATAATAATATTACTAATTAATAAAGGGCCAGCTGGATGCAAAATTAATTTAGTAGCCTATTTTATACTCTTGACTCTAGTTTGAGTAGCAACCAACTCCCCCCCCACCCCACCCCGTGTGTATTATTTTTATTTTATAAGAATGAGATCTATTTCTTTTTAAATTTTTAAATTTTTATTTTATGTGTGTATGGGGAAGGGGGGATCAATAATCGAGAAAAAAGAACGCTTATACACCTTTTAATTTATATTATATTGTCAGGGGTGACAATGGGGCATGGCAAAACTTGTTTTTTAAAAATCATAACGGATAAAGAAACCCCACGTAACACAACTTTATCATTTTTTCGGTTCCAATTATTCGAGGATATTTTTTTTTTACTTTTTTAGATTCAAATAAAATGAAGCTTGAACAATATCTTTAAAATGTATTTTTTCAATTATATTGATATGAGAAGAATAATAATATTTTATTATATTTCTTATATAATTTTTTAGTATATAAATTTTAATTTTAAAATAAAAATTTGGTCATATTCAATTTAGCTTCAAAGATTAATTAAATTGATTCTCATAAAGTGAAATTAAGTATCGCATAAATTTTTTATTTAAAAAAAAATTAAGATAATCCCTAATTCAATCATCCATTTCGTATTAAAATTGTTGCTTGAATAACACTCACTCCCATCCTTTTTTTTAATGGTTACGTTTCGCTTGTTGAAAATTATATTAAGTCAATTAATTTTTAAAGTTAAATTAAATTAGATCAATTCAACATTTTAAAATTATTTAGTTGTTCGAAAACTATACAAAATTCTTCTCACACTAATATGATGAAAATATATATCTTCAAATATTGATCAAAGTCTATATAGTTTGACATTTGAAAAGTAAAATATGACAAATAAAAATAAACGAAATAATATTAACAACTTTTGACACAAGCGAAACTTCATTAATTTAGTAGTCACATCACACATGCATTCAATATTCCTTGTCACTCATTAACAAAAAAAATCAGGTGCTTAACCCAAACCACGCGTAACGATAGATACATAAATAAATAAAATTATTCGATTAAAATAATTTAAAATTTTAAATGAGACGATAGCAAATTTCTAACACGTAAAACAAAAGATGATGTGTGACCAACTTTATTTTATTTCTGAAGCTATAAACATACCATGTGTGGCCAACTGTTTATTTTTATTTTTTCTGTTGTTTGGATGTTGGAATTAGGATTAGGTTTGGATATTGGAATTAGGATTAGGTTTTTTTTTTTTCTCCTCTTCAATTTGTTTATCTTATTTAAATATGTTTACGAAAATAAAGAAAACTTTACGTGATATGTCGGTAGGATATATCACTTTATGCGACATATAAGTCAGATAAATCATTTTACGTGATGTATCGGGACGTTGGATGATGTATACGAAATCGAGACGCGAAGTATCAGAAAATTGAGTGATGTATTCGAAATCGGAATGTGATGTATCATAACGTTTTGGAATGTGTCCAGATTCCACCAAATTTAAGGAATTTTTGTAATTTTAAAAAGAGTAGAAATATGACGTAATTAATTTTTAACACTATGAAATTTGTGTAAAAATCTCGAAAAATATCGTCTTTCTATAACTAAAAAATAATTTAATTTTGACATTTCTCTTTAATCTTATTGAAATGATTTATAACTACACAAATAATTAAAGAAATATTTTATAAATTACAAATTTAAAAGTCTTTATTAATTAGATAGTGTCACATAAAGTAGGACGAAAAAAGAAAGAGCGTCATTTAGTGGTATTGTGACATTTGATATGTAATGTGTCCATATCATTGCTTAGTCAATTAGCTCCATGAAATAGACTCCTCCTATAGTATACTATATATAAAGCACCTTCCTTCCTTTTTCCTCCCAAATCAATTCTCAAAAAAACTAAATTTATCATCAACAAAACACACACAAAAATACAAGAGAAACAAAAGCACTAAAGAAGAAGAAAAATGGATCCCAACTCAGAGTGCATGGTAAGAACTCTCCCTCTTAAAGAGTTATCAACATTTCTTCATTCTGAAAATTTTCTCTTTTCATTTTGCTCTCATCAGTTTTGCTAATATTTTTCGACTTAATCGTGGTGTTCGAATCAGCTGTTTTGTAATTTTCCTCAATTTTTGTGTAGAATGTTGAAGATTTTCCTCAATTTGTGTGTAGTATGTTGAAGTCTGTAACCATCTCATAAGGCCAAGTACGTTAATTTGGGTAGCAGTGAGATTTGATCCTAGCATCTCTATCTTCTATGATATCGTGTTAAAATGTGTGATTATTTTATTTAATAAAAGTGTGTTTTCTCTAACATCGTCACACATTTTATTTTTTATTCTGTTGGTCCATTATAATTTGTATATTCCATGTGTATATTTTAAAATTTGCTAAAGGATAAGATTTCTTTGGATATTTACTCAATGAGTCACATTATATTGTACTAGCATTGTGCATTTTTGTATTTTATTTTTTTCTCTGTTTGTGTATACTAGTAGTATAAAAATAAGGACAACACAACACGTGTCCACTTTCTAGAACTATCTTTGTGAGACACGTGATTCTCGTTTGTCTGAACCTTTAATATTTGGGCCTCAAAATATCCAAATAGCCCAATCACATCCCTAAAAGTAATGGGCTGAATTATCCATAAAATATGGGTAACTTACATAAATATACTAGTATAAATTATAGGAACCACATATTATAAGTACTAAATAACATCCTATCCCTTCTAGTTTTCTATTTACCAAAAATCCCTTAAAAATGATGTTTGCGGGATACATAGCGTTGTGCACGGGATACATAGGTAAATAAGGGATTTTTGAAAATTTTGAAATAAGTAGGGATAAATGGATATTAAGGTAAGTAAAGGAGTGTAGTGAAGTAATTTGTCCTAATTTTAAAACGGTAATTAAGTTAAAATTTTAGATTCGCGTTTGGGTCACAGTATCATCTATCTAGTGTACATTATTTATATTCTCAAAAAGTCATAACCTCATCTGCATCTATAAATTTATTAAGCATGGGAAAGAAACCTTACACCAGACCTCTTCAAATTAGGATGATCAAGGTGAAGACACTTCCAAATTGTTTATAAAATCACTATATTGATCATTAATATAATCAATACTTAATAATTTTAGTGTCCCCCTGAGAATATTCAAAATTAGAGGGTTGAAGAAATATAATTATGTCATATCACACTATTATTATAATGTTCTAAATTTACAACTGTAATTTCAGTATTCTCACGTGGACACTCAACTAATTTGTGCCATCTCAAAAAGTCAAAAAAAGTGAAATCAAGCAACGATCTAGCAAAAACTGACTTCTATCAAAGAGGATATGCTTTTATATTCTTCAATCAGCTGTGAACAAACAGCGAAACACTTTATTTAATAATGAAAAAGTAACATAAAGTATACAGTAAAAACAATCAAATGTTTGAGTACTTAGTGCACTTATAGCCAAAAATTTTCACTAGACCAACACAACTGCAATTGGACTTCTCACAGAGTGCCTAGTAGAAGTCCATTTCAAGAATCCGTCAACAACCACAACTTCTGAACTGCTGGTTGTCTTGGAAAATGTCACTTGGTATGTTAACTTCTGGTTCAACTCGGAGAAATTTAGCTCTATAGGTTCAACTTCTACAGCAACTCCTATTGGTGAAGCTATCTCCACTTTGTAAGATGATGGAACATCACCAACGTTGGTCACAGTTCTTGTATATGTCTGAGGAGTTGATCCAAGTCCAAATATGGAAAACGAAGGATAGTTTAATTGTGCTTCAGGGATACTTTTCACTTCCCTCTTTCTGTTGCACTGTACGCCCCGAGAGCAATATTATCACTATGGAAAGGGACTGGACCTCCACCAAGGGACATTGAAAGAATATCTACTCCATCATCTATAGCTGAATCCATGGCAGCTAAAATATCACTGTCAGAACACTTGCCATCGGAACCACATACCTTATATATGGCTATATGGGCAAGAGGAGCAACACCAACTGCAGTGCCATTAGCATTGCCATTTACATTAGCACCTTTCACAAAGGCTCCTGCAGCTGTGCTTGCTGTGTGTGTACCATGTCCATTACCATCTATCGGGGAACCATTGCCAAGTTGGTAAGACCTCGCTCCAATGAGCTTTTTGTTACACTTGTTCGTAAAATTGGACTCACAAACTCCTTTCCACTTAGCAGGTGGGGGAGGCATCCCAACGTCGCTAAATGAAGGATGATCAGGAAGAATTCCAGTATCTAGAACTCCTATGATCACGCCTTTCCCATAATTTGAGTCTTTCCAGAACCCCATGTTCTGTTGCAACCCCATGAAATTGACACTATGTGTGGTGTGTAAATTAAGTATCTCATCGGGGTGTGCAGAAACAAATCCTTCCATTTTCTCCATTTCCTTAATATCCTCTGGTGATAACTTAGCTGCAAAACCTGTTAGGACATTTCGATAGGAATATATCAAACGTGGTGCCTCACGAGAACTATCTGAGGTTGTTGCAGGCAAGAAAGAAAGATACCAGCTTTCTAAATCTTGATATCTGGTTGACATTTCCCCATCAGGGAACTGACAATGAACAATATAGATTTGTGAATTGTTCTGTTTTGTTGCATTAGTGGTAAATGAAAAGAGCACACAAATCAGCACAATTATAGTAAGAATTGAACTGTATTGAGCCATCATTACTTTAGTACTTGTGAAAGAGTTGTTATTTTGTGAGTGTTTTTTGAATTTTGATTTGAGGGAATATATGCTTATTGGAAGTATATTTTTTTATTTGCAAGTCAGAAGCTAGTTTTAGAAATGTGAAATAGTCATATCTGGAGATTCTTGGATTTAATAGAAAATAGAAAGTGAACTGGTCATCTATACGCTAAAACGATTTTATTCTAATTAACTTCTATTTGCTAATGAAGTTGGCATAGCAACATCACATAGATGAAGTCATTAATCGACAATATACTTAAGTAATGTTCGAATCAACTTGAACACACCTTAACTGAGCTGACTTGTTCACCTCACAAGTACTCCCTCTGTCCCAAAATAGGTGTTATCTTAGGAAATCCAAAACAAAAATTAGTATGACTTTTTAACTATACCTTTATATTCCATTTTCTTTTTAGTGTTCAATTTACAAGAAACGTTCATAAAATAAGGGTAGTTTACTAAACTACAGATTGTGTTTATTGATTTCTTAATGAATGTGACTGTGTGCAGCCTGAGCATTGATGAGATGGAGTTGACTAAATCTCAATTGCCACATGCTACCTTCTGATACGATGCCACAATCGAATTTTGACCTAGTATCCTATGAAATTAGTTGAGGTGCGACAAGTTAACCAAAACACCACAAATATAAATTAAAAAGAAAGTACTATGTTACTTAACAATAAT